CCCGAACGTGTCACATCTTCACGATCTGCATTTACGAATGTTATTAAAAGTTTTCAAATTTTCAAGAAACTGGGCGTGTAGATAACAAAATACGAAGAAGATCCAAGGCAGCAACTGATGATCGAAACACCGTGAACATTTTAGCAGCTGTAACACAAAATCCCCATGCTAGTACAAGGCAGCTAGCACGTGAAAGTGGCATTAGTCAACGAAGTGTTTTCCGAATAATACATTCAAATAAATTCCACGCTTTTCATGCTTCGCTTCACCAAGAATTACATGAGAGTGATTTTCAAAACCGTGTAAATTTTTGTGAATGGGGTCTGCAGAAATTACAGAGTGATGAGCTGTTTATGATTAAAGTTTTGTTTACGGACGAAGCCACATTTACAAACTGTGTCCAAGTCAATCGTCATAATATGCATTATTGGTCAACAGAAAATCCACGGTGGCTGCGAGAAGTGGGTAAACAAAGACCTTGGTCTGTAAACGTTTGGTGCGGACTTCTTAACGGTGAAATAGTTGGTCCTTATTTTATCGATGGCACATTAAACATTTCGAGATATAAACACATTTTAACGGAAATTTTGCCACATCTGCTGGAAAATATTCCGCTTCACATACGGCAAACTATGTGGTTCCAACAAGATGGGTGCCTTGCTCATTCTGCACGGATAATTACTCCATTCCTCAGCGCGACATTCGGAGATCGTTGGATTGATCGTGCAGGGAATCATAAATGGCCCGCACATTCTCCAGATTTAACACCTCTGGACTTCTATTTGTGGGGAAAATTAAAGCAGCAAGTGTATAAATAATGAAATACCAATAACCAAAGAAGATATGAAAGAGCGTATAAGAAGAGCTTGTGCCGCGATAAACACAACTGAAATTCAACATGCCGTATTATCCGTCAAGCAACGCTTCAGAGCATGCATAAATGTTCAAGGTCATCATCTCGAACACTTGTATTAGTCGTGTATTACTGTTAGATAAATAAATCAACAGTGCTTGATCATTTCCTCAAAGTAAATTATTTACCATCACAATTGGCTGAACCCAGACCACGAATGACCATTAATAATGTTCCATTTAAAAAAACAGAGATGACCTTCATATCTCCTTGACGCCTCTACCTATCAAAAAACTAGTAACATCGGATGATCAGACCCTCGATACCAAATAATTTTGGCCTGATGTATTTTTTCCTATCACCAATAGCAGCCAAGTTATTCAGCTAGCCGTTTTTAAGTGCCTCACCCTGTATACTATATTGTAAGAGAAGTTTTAAATTGTTAATATAAATTATATTACTATACTTTACCGCAATATCTTTTAATTCCTAATCTTTATTATACTTCCACTTATAAAATTTAATTCAGCATCAATAATAAAAATTACATTTCAATGTAATTTCTATTATCGCGTCCAATTAAGATAATTGCTACTCATTATTGCCATTAAAAAATAATTAGATCATACTGTTACTATAACATGAGAGAATATACATACTTTCTAGATTTGTTAAGTTTACGAAAAAAGTCTTTTGAATGTTACAGCGTGTAGTGAATTACCAAAATTTTTTTGAAATTTTAAGAGGTAATACTGATACAGTAATTACGACAGCTATCAGTTTGATGATGCGTACAGAATTGTGTCGTATTGCATAAAGTGTTTTATGCACAAGCACGCGAAACCCATTCTCCATGCATCATTGGTGCCGTCGAGAATGTGTGAGATAATGACGTACAAAAATGAATTTTTAAGTAATTGATTAATTAATTAATAATTAATTAATTGATAATCTTTTATCTGATAATATCTGGTATAATTATATATTTCTTAAAATTCATTATAAAAGTGATAAACAGAGAGTATCCTTTATTTTAGACAAATCCCATATTCATTAACTTTTCAATATTTTCCTGATGGTACATATGTGTGTATTAGGAATAAATACTACAAAACCGAATTTGTACTTTCCACTGTAATAATATTAAATAAAGAAATAGCTTACGTTAGCGTACGTTTTGTATCACTATTAGCGCGATATAAAAAACCCCGATAAATACTTTCAATCAACAATTTCAGAATGCTTTAATTTTACTACTACACGTATAGTTTGCCAAAAGTATCCCCCTGTGCCATTGACGAAACTCGAAATTCAGCACAGTGCATTTGTTGTATTGTACAAATACAGGGTGTTAAAAGAACCAATCAGTATTTGTATGGTATATAGGACACACTATACTGAATAAAAAAGCCTTAGTAAACATAGATCGGAAGGTCACCGTTTCCGAGATATAAAAGAAAAAACATTTGTGTATGTTAGCATCATGATTGACTTACGGACTTCAGTGTTTATAAACCGCGTTCTGAATGTTCTCATTAAATGTTCATACATACTTCATGACAGATGATTTCATCGGCAATCAGTCAGTTGCCATCAATCGGCGACGGCGAATCTATTTAGTATTTACATAAAGCATCGTGCTAAAAATGTCAGCGTATTACTCCAATGAAGAAATGGCAGATATGCATTTTATTGTGAAAAAAAACTTAAAGAAAGTAAAGCAAAGTGGAACACCTGTAAATATTCAGAAGCCAGTAGTAAGTCAATCATGATGCTAAAATACCAAAATGTTTACATCTCAGAAACGGTTGACCTTTCAACCTATGTTTACTAAGGCTTTTTTACTCAGTACAGTATATCCCATGTACCATATATGTAAATATTGAATTTTTTTTTTTTAACCCTGTATACATAAATTTTTGACCAAAAAAGATCACTTCTCTAATAGAAAAATGCCTACAGTTTAACGGTGAAGCTAAAATAGGAAATGAATGGTTGACAGTGGCTTGGAACGTTCGATAGTTATTCGTGACGTTGACAAGAACCGTGGTCCAATCGCTCAGGTATCTGGGGGGACGAAGTTTATCGGCACAATTCCACGTGTTGTCAGGATGGCCGAGCGTCACCGGACCAATACTTCCGAGCGCATCTTTCTTCGCCGTGTCGGAGACAGACAGGGGCAGGGGCAGGGGGCTAGCCTACTTTCTCTGCAAAGAGAATTTTTAACCGACGTGTGAGGGGTTCCCTCTCCCTGCTTTCTCATCCTGAACGACGTCTCGACTCTCTACCTCCCCCTCCCTCCGCCATCGCCCCCCTTCGTTTCTCGTCCCTGTTCATTACACCTCGTGGATCTCGCTCGCTCTCTCTCTCTCTCCTCTTGGGACGCTCGTTTCCTCGATTTACTTGGCAAGCTTAGCGGTGAATTCCTTCGACTGGTAACCCCTCTCAGAGTCTATATAAGCGGAGTGCTCATACGAGACTGAGCATTTTTTGTGATAGTAGTGTACGGAGCCGCGGGTCCCCTACAGAATCGAAGAGGCTTCAGGTTAAACAAGTGTTCAGAATGGTGTGCACGACGTGGTATCACCGATCCGTGTTCGATTAGAGCCCAAGAAGCGCCTTTCTTTCGACAGTGACGGAAAAGCAAGACAGGCCGCCGGGAAAGAACACCCTGGGAAGTGTTGTTTGATTTTTGTGCACAGTGCGGTCGACGATTTACGTGCGTGCGAAACATGTTTCGAAGCGAGGTAGGTGATCGTGGATTCGATCATTTCTGTGACTTTTCGTTGATTTATTTGCAACTTTTGCTGTGACGAAAGTTTATAATGATTTTGGGGCGTGTAGAAGTAATTTTATTTCATTGTAGAACTATCGACGATGAACGTATATCTATTCCTATGAGATTGATAAACATGATAAACTTTTGGAAATATACAAATTTATGAATTATCTAACTTCTTCACTATCGTATTGCAATAAAAGTTGCGAAAGATCTCAGAAAATATATGTGTAAAGTTAGAGAATCTTAATCATGGTTATAAAAATGTACTAATCAGTCCTTTTGAATGCCTGAGTAGTTCTAGTGTTGATCACTTTCATTTAATTAAGTTTAATCATTGATGTATTCTAACATTTTTGGACTATTCCTTCGAACGTTGGTGGCTTCTTGATTGTTTGGAGTAATACTAGATTCGATATCACTCATAAAATCATCTGATATAATTTGTTCTAGTCAGTACTGCTTATACTACTTAAAATATTTCGAATAGGAGTCTGAGCTATTAAACATGTTAAAATAAGCATCATGAAATATATACCTTTCATTCGATGTAATATTACTTTAAGTGATTCTGTCGCTCTTGAATTACTCCAAATATAAACTAATTTGTCAAACGATAATTAACTTAAGCAGTGTATCCATAATTTTCCGAAATTTCTTTCTAATAGAGAAATTTCTCTTTAACTTTAATGGGTATAAGGAAAGTATCATATTCAGGGATGCCTAGATCTTTGCTTTTAAGTACAGGTAATTTCTTGTGATTCTTTCGAACGATACATATGTATATGTTGCAACTATCAACTAATTAATCAGTTACTTAGTATTTTTCTTCGCAATTCCATAGGAAAAAACGTCAGTGAAGTTTCGTCCAAAAAGTTTCTAAAAGTATTGGTTTCAGGGACTGCAACTGATTTATCAGATATATTCACGCAGTTTGTATTTTTTAATGAAAAACGAGAATTACAACATGGAAAATATACAAATTGGTCCCACATACTACTCGTGAAAAAGTCTAGATGATACTATTTTTTGATGTTTCATAAGTGATATAAAGTTATTAAGGTGTTCAACGATCTGTGATCGTACAGCGGCTTCATGACTCTGTTGCAATTGACCGGAAGAACTCGTCATGACAGTTGCAGTTTCGTTATAGATGTAATTTTCTGTTAAATCGAATCTTGAGAAAGACGCTCTTAGTTCGTATTTACGATTTTAATAAATACTTAAGATTATGTCACTAATTAAAGGGTAAATTTGAAAGCGTTTCAGTTTTATTTTTGCCAGTATTCGAAAACTAAACTACTCGATAGTCACCAGAATTTCATTTGAATTCTAATAAAATTTATTTGCGTCGACTCATACGTACCTATGCCCAAAATGAAAGTATAATTTTCATATAATTTATTATTATTATTAGACTGCATATCATTATGCAAATTCACATTTTTGGAGGCCAAGTTTCAAGTTTTAAGGTGTCGATAAAAAATTTGTATACTTTGTTAAGAAGTTTATGAAGGTAAAATGAATTTGAGAGCGATACAAAATTTGATTGTTTACAGTCCAGACATTTAAATTTCCATTGTATTCAATTTTTATACTTAAATAAATTACAGAGATTTTCATTAAACGAAGAATGTCAAAGATTTTACATAATTCTCGCAAATTTTAAATCTTTAAATATTTCATAGATTGTTTAATTGTTATTAAAAAGTACTGTAACTTTTGATCTGTTATCAGATTAATCTGATAGAATTGTGTATTGAAAACTGGTGTATGTAACGTGAACAATTTACGCAATAAATACGTTCATTAGGAATGTATACTTGAGGGATTCATATTGGAAACTGATCAAGTAAGGTTAAGCTGTACATATTTCTTGTTTGAATTTGTATTATATATCCGATTCTATTAAATGTAACATAATTAATTTACTAATTAAAGTTCATTTAATTTCAAGTTTATTTAACCATTCTTTTACTTCGCTTTCAATATGGGTGCTTTCTATCAGATTTCTAAGAGATACTGAAACAACATCGGTAGTATAAATAAATGACTTCATAATTGAAAGAATAACGAATTATCTTAGGCAGTTTCTAAATTGCTAGTGTTACCCTTGGGAAAATTATCTCAACGTATCGCCAGGATTTTAGTTAGGTTAATTAGGGGTTGATAATGCTTTAATGACCAAAAATAGTTTCGAATTTCTGAATAGATTATGCAGTTATCAAATGAATATATATATATATATTGCCCAGAAGGCAATCTAAATGTAACCGTATATGACCTTATTCGTTTGCTGATTTCAATATTAGAGGGTTTTCTATAATTAATAATTCCCTCAGACATATTTTTCTTTGTCCATTTAAGTTGATATCGTGCCGTTTTCTTTATTTCATCAGTAAATTTAGTTGTCTGGTTGTTATTCTTTACACCTTCAATCACTTTATCATTGTTTATTTACTAATTCACTGTTCACTCGTTATTCGTATCATTTATAGAAAAAGGAACCGAAATAAATTAAATATTTCGAATATATTTTATACCAGCATCCGTGTAATACAATATCATTGTATTTTGGAATGAATAGGTATCATTATAGATGAATAACCCATTACAGTAGCAGCTGGATCAATCTCGAAAAATTAACGACTTTTTCAGCATTATTAAGTAATTGCTTATTGTTACAAACAATATCGTAACACACAATACATCCATAAATCTCACCGACAAAATGGACGTAACAAACCTATAAAGTATTACTTCAGAATGATTGAAGTGTAACGTTTGTAGACAAGAAAATGGGGCGACATAGATCAGTAGACACTGATGTAAAAATTCTTCCTTTTCGCCGCGAGTTGAATTACTCGAGGGCAGTGTTACAGATACCTCGGGCGCTGCTGCATCGACAAAAAGAGATTAAGTAAATGTGCTGAAAGTGAATATTACCTTTCGATGTTCAATTTAGTTTGGAAGTGTGAAAAGCAGTCATTTTCGTTTGATGTTTGTATAATGAACCGTTAATTATACGCGTAACAGTAGTAATGGAGCGTCAAAAATAAATACAGTAGACTCTAACTATATTGCCACTGAACACATCGCCACATGAGGCGCTTCCCCTTCACTCGTACTTTAGCGCACACAAATTCGCTTTCCCATCATGTTGCGTACGCCGGCGCACCAACACGATCCAGCTTTTGCGCAGGCCCCGAGGCCCAGGCCATGGCGATAGAAGTTAACATGGAGAGGGCTCTGAACTCATTGCCATTTTACTACCAAACAGCCCCAAACATGGCAATATAGTTAGAGTCTACTGTAGATGTATCGGGTAAATTGATGGTAGTCACAGAACTGTTAAGTATGAGGGAATATGATTTCCTATTTTACAATACTGTAGAAGGTCATTTAGGTAGTATTTTAATATTTCAACGACATAACAACATGTTATATGTATACAATATAATTATCTAGCCATCAAAAATTGTGACAATTTTTTTAATATGCAAGTACAACGCATGAATGTCGATTGTTTACGATAGAAACACTTCGAAGATTCTTGTCCAGCATGTGACGAAGTTATTTATCCATTGAATTAGGGTGATTTAAATAAGAAGATTGCATTTTTTTTAAATTCTACATTTCATGTTACAAATTTTCATCTATATAAATCTGTTTTCTGAAATGACTATTTAAATAGTTTCGAATAACCTTTACATTCTCTAAATGTACAAATTATTTAATAATAAATTCTGCATGTGTTATAGATACACACAGGGGAAATTTATTTTGTACAGATAACTTTTCAAAGAAAATTACAATATTTGTAAAATATATATTGTTAGAAAATATTAATAGTTTTCGCACATATCATAAGAAAGTAATATTTTAAGTGTCTTCAGTTGTTGGGATGTTATGATTATAAGTATAGTTTTAATAATGAGAACTTTCTGTGTTCATCGTAATCAGAATGGAAAACTAATTCCTAATTTTGTAGAAAGTGCCTGCTAGGTAATTTTGTACCTAAATTGGAGATGGTGTATTTTTCTTTTCAGGAAATAGTACTTTCAATGTTGCAATAACACGAATGGTAGATGAGTAGTAGAGTACACGCAATAGGAAATACACCAGACTAATTCGAAAACTTCCGTTTCTAATCACGCAGATATTATTTGAAATTGCACACTCCTACTACCGTCAACAACCGTTTACATATTCTCATATGCAATTGTAAAATTTTCTAACACTTTAGACACTGCCTTGTACACAATATAACACGTATAATCAAAATATTATTACCTGAATCCCGATGCCCACATAGTTTTTTAACACTTCGCTCTGTGAACTTGTCACTTAAACTTGGTCTAAGCTAAAATCGAATTATGGAAGTATACTTACAGATATAATAATACATGTAAAAATAGGTCGAGAATATCGTTTCCAAGGAAATCAATTTTCAAGATTCATTTAAGATGGCTCACGCAAATTTTTAATAATTATAAATTTCGTTGAAAATGTAACAGAACATTCTTAAGAGCTTCTATTTTCGATTGTTACGAAAAAATCGTAAGATCAACGATAAAATTATTGAAAAAGAAACGGTATAAACATTTTTTTTAACATGAGCCTTATGGAACTGTAGGTGATACTAAGAAATTAATCACTTCTTATTTAGTTACAAAAAAAGACATTTTCATACAAAATTAGATGGTTATAGACTTTTTTACGGACATTATGATGGCATGGAAGAAAGATATGTTAACGATTAAATAAAACTAAAAATTACGATCAAAATATGCAAATTTAGGTTTCAATGCGTTTGGTAGTATGTATCTTCTATGCGTGTCTGCTATGAGCGTCAACGTCACTTGTTTTTCTTTGGTTTGTTCGACGAACTTTCTAACGTGTTCTTAAAAATGAAGAAAAATCTGATTTTTTTTACAATAAGAAAAAAAAAGTTTGTTCTTTCCACTTATTTGTAAATTTTTTTCCCATTTCAATATTTTGAAGCAGTTTAAAATATTAATCATTCAAATTAAATTGGTAAAATTGATAAAAAGTATAAAGCGCCATTGGAGATTATAGTAACAATAAGTAGAAACGGAATGTAAGTAACAGACGTGTAAACGAAGTTTTATTTAATTGCAGTCGTAGGTACGTATATCCAGCAGATTTTCAAATTCGATTCTTTCGAAAACGAAACATGAGATAAAAAAATGTTATGTTACATGTTTCATTCATTTTTCCATGTAGAATCGTATCTTATCAGCGTGTACCACCAGATCAGAAACGCCCTGTGTGTAAACTACAAATGTGAAATTAATTTATAAGTTTTTTCAATTACACATTCTATGTGGTCGTTCATACTGACTTTTCTTCAACACTAGAACTACCCACGATGAACATATTTCTATTTCTGTTGGATCGATAATCATGACAACCTTTCGAAAGTCGTTATATCTATAAATCAACTAATTTCTTTACTTTCATACTGCAATAAAAGCCGTGAAAGATCTAAAAAAATTCATCTAGTAACATTTTAGTCATCGTAATTAGAGAGTAGTAACTGGTACTTTTGACTGCTTCGGTAGTTCTACCGGTGTTAATGACATTAGTAAGATTGTTAACAACAGGGAATTCAATGTATTTAACATATAATATTTCGTAATGTTGACATAATCCTTTTTAGAAATTAAATTCAAAGTCTTAAGCTATAGAATATAAAAACTGTTTTTCGCAAGAAGAATAATTTTCAAAGAATAGATTAAATGATCACATTTACATGATATCGGTCAATTTTACGTATAGTTATACTTCTGAACAATATTCGTTTAAATCGTCTTCTATCACAAAGCTGATCAGTTCACAAACGAAATCGAAAGTGCGCGTGCATCAGAATCCAGGATGCGGTCGTACACGTTCGCCGTGAGAAAAGTCGATGTTTGTACGCGGAAGGACGCGAATTAAATATCGAGTTTTCCGGCGAATCGTATCGTTCGATAAGAAGTGACGGCTTCCACCGCATTACGTGCATACCTCCTACGTGCCACGAATGTGTGACTATGCATGAAGGAGGTGTTTGACCTAATCACAACCTGCCTACACCTATGCATCTATTCTGGGCTATTGCCTACGTAGGGGTTATTGCACATGCGAATATACATACAGACCCTATTCGTCTGGTAATGGTGATAGCTCCATTCGAAGATGTACATGTGACACAAAAACAATGCGAAAGATTCATACAAACCTACAATTTGACCTTATTCTCAAGTTATAGCCATACCTCTATTGCAATAACCGTTAATTACAAAACTTGTGCGATTATAACTGATTTAAATAAGTCACAAGTCAAATATTTCTAAGTCTTATTCTATTGCATAAAATATTTTCTAATGCGTAGATCTTTCATCCATAAAAATGTTATGTGTTGAAGTCTAATGTTTCAAACTAGATGACATTAGTGTCTCTTTGTTTAATTTATGAAATGCTACGTAATGAATCAGTTTCTTTTTGATCTTCTGAAATATTACTTGTTCTTGACTTGTGACACTTCTTTTTTTTTGGGTGAGGCACGGGTGGGGTGGGGGGGGGGGGGGGGCCTATCGTAATTACTGCTCTGTCGTTTCTAGCTGTACTCTGTTAAACAGAGACAGTTTTGGGATTAAGTGAGTAAAACATAAATTATATGAACTACATGTGTGAAAAATCAATTCATTCGTTGCTCTCAAAAAAATTTAAATGATATACTTAAGTATAAATGGCAAGTATATTACCTGTTACAACAAATTCATTCCTGTTAGTGAAATAAGAAGTTGTTCTTAAAATATTCTGTCAGCTTGTTTCCTAACTGATAATTTAGTTCGCTGATGGAAAATAAATCGAATTTTTTAAAATTCTTTCTACGTAGCAGCAATTATTGTGTTTGCTAATTTGTAGTTAACATAACGTTTTAATGTAAAAATATACGTTAGCGCGATTACAGTGTAAGCATGACTTGCACACTACGGGTCTCCGTTTATTGTATTGTATTCTGGGTTGCATTTCTCGTGGATGCACTTGAGAGAAAGTGCGGCATATTATGTTAGCCTTGCATCTCGGTCATTGTGCCACTTAAGACTCCCCAGCACGGTGTCTCGATGACATTTACGACTTAAACCTTTTTCGCGGTTTCTTGCCCCCCTAGCCGATATATTTTACGAGAAATAACTTTTTACAGTGCAATAGAATGTAATGGACAATCGACACCTTCAAAAATACATAAATCGTTTTCCATTGTTTCGGAAATAAATGCAGATAATAGGTACTATACAAACAAAAAACTTTACCCACTCACTTCGAAAAAGCATTCGGTAATTTTTTGTTTCGCAAACCAATCAATTTTGTCACTTAGAAACAGTCTTTATTAAATTCAATATAAATATTTGAAAATTCTATATCACTATTGCTTCAGTGATCAATTCCATTTCCTTTGCATTAATAGGTAAAATGTAATAAATCAAGACTTTTAGCGTACTATTTAATGGTTTAACCCTCGTACACTGTTCAAGAAATTATTGCTTTACCTTTCCGTGCATTAATTTGGGTCTGAATTAAAATTCAATTAAGAAAATATGTTTGTCTATCTTTATATTATATGTATTATGTATGTAAGGTATTGGTGTCAAATTAATTTATAAATCTTTACAACAAAAACTATAATTTAGAATCAAACATTGGCTTTAGATAGAATGGTCTGGAACAGTGTACGAAGGTGAATGGAATGATTTTCACATTTAATTGTTTAAAAATCGATGAAAATAATGAACAAAGCAAATTCCATAAATTAAAAGTGATAATGAGAGCATAATTTCGCTTCATTCGGGTACATTCACATTTGCATGCATTGTTGTTTCCCGTTACAGCGTATAAACCCGGCAACAATAAAGAATTCTAGGGAAACTGAAATTTCTTTCGACATGAGACTGCATGCGTAGCTTCGCAATCAACGCGATACTTCACCGGCGCATGCGTCTTGTACGCGTAGCGAGTAAATGCAGGCTCATGTGTTTTCGCACACATTAGAACGTGTGCTTGTTGTCTTGTACCAACCAAGGTTGTAAACTAGCTTAAAATTTCTCACGGTCTTCAATACTGAACCGTAGATAATATGCCCTGCACGAGCGAAATGTGTACGCGATACTAAGCTACACTTACGCTACTGTCGAACTAATTAGAGCAAGGGATGGTACCAGACCAGCAATTATCTAACTCTCCCGAACCCGACAATTGCTGTAATTTTGAACCTGCTACCGAACCTAACGCAAAGAAAGATTCGGAGAGCTGCAGATAGGAAACTTTTCTAAAGCTCTAATTATTTAGTGGAAATTGAGCATAGTAATTGTCAGGAATTGTTAAAGATACAGACGTGCAGTCAGGAAATTCTATGAATATTGATTATTGAGGACTAGCTACGTTTTAATAAGTATCAGGTGTACTGATACTTTGGACACGTATTTAAGTCGTTCATTTCCCAAAGTGAGTAACTCCCTAAAACGTATATTTACAATTAATTTTAAATATAAAAAGTTATCATTTACGCTCTTTCGATTGAAACATATTTCACAAATACTACATTCATTATAATCTTATGTATTAAGTGTACCAGTTAGCCACTATTGCTATTTATTTTAATATATCGGCAATGTAGTTTAAATTCAGGATAGCTTTCCAATCTTCTGCCTAGTCAATATGGCGACGGATGATGAAATAAAACAATGAATATTGTTAAGATAGCAGAAGGTTTTGAGTTATTTCCAAACAAATAGAGGAATTCAGAAATAGTACGTAGTGAATTACCTATTGGTACATCTAATATGCAATACATGATTGCGGAAGTAACATAATATAATTGTCTAATTACAAGGAAACCCAACGGAAGTCTCGTTTTGATTTTAGATTACATTCACGCTGCTCTGCGTCCTGTTGATTAGACACCATGTGCAAGCAGTGATCAACAAGCCGCAAGCATCGAGTAACAGCGAGGAAAAGAAGGAGAACGAGGTTAAAGCTGACGAGAGGATAAGTAATTCGTACGGGCCACCATCTGATGATTATGGACCTCCTATTGGCAGTGATTTCAATGGGCCAGCTCCGGTTTATGGACCTGCGGAATTAGTAGGTGATCATGGAGCGACACCTATATATCCACCACCACCGCCAGACGTACCCCCACCATTGTATGGGCCACCATTGTCCTCGTATAGCCCACCACCACGAAATATTAAACCACATTACGGTCCACCGAAACAAAGTCACGGAGCTCCTCTGCCTCCGTTGCCGTCGAAGCTGAGTTTTGGTTCGCTGAAACTACACTACCACGGACCACCGAAGCAACATTACGGACCGCCGTACTCGTTCGGTGCGTTCCGACCACAGAAATCACAGTACGGTCCACCGTTGAAATTTAGTTCTGCTGTGTCGAATCAGTACGTGGCTGTAGCACCTTCGGGTCACGGTTCAACGAAACTGGAACATGGACTTTCTATTCCCATATCTTTGGATACGTACGGACCACCTCAGAAACTCGCTGTTCAGTTCAATTCCCAGCCAAGCGATAATTACGGACCACCGCTACAGTCGCTAGCTAATGTTCAGTTTGCTCCACCGACTGGTAACCTGTACGGACCATCTCCACCGGGACCTCTACCAGGAGTGCCGGCACCACCTACTCCCCCAGATATAAAATACGACGGTTGGCAGCCTATTGCAGGGTTAGCCAGTCACCACGGACCACCTCCAGATAACCACGGTGCATCATTAGAGAATCATGGTGCGTCTTTCACCGAACAAAAGAATTTAGAGGGTTCGTCCGTGAGTCTACATCTAACTCAATCTACCTCGAACGCGGTTGCTGAATATTCGAATGTACCAAGTGATTCTTACGGGATGCCGATTCATCACCCCGACGCCCAAGATCTGAAGAGTTCTGTGAGTCAAGGCGATTCCGGATTACCACCGCCCCAGTTACCACAATACGAGCCGTTCCATAACGAACAACAGCATTCGCCAAAAAAGGAAGAACATGAAAACGTGGTGACGGGACAGGTGAATTTGCAGTACGAAGTACAAAATGTGGAACCACTTTCTATTGTGAAAACTGTTGGATTCGAATTGCTGCCCACTACTTCACCGTTAACCTCAGATCTCCATGCAGGGTCATTGCCAACCTTGAAGTTACCTATCGTCGACAGTGGAGGTCAACTTAATGTTCAAAGTGGAGGCTTCCGTGGTTTTCAAAAGTTTAGAAACGATTTATCCTTGTCACAAGTAAACACCCCGTCTGGTAACTATGGGCTACCATTCCAGGATGCATCTTTCGGAAAATTGAACTCCGTCGAGTCTGGACTGCCTATACCTCCTCCGCCTCTGCATGACACGTACAGTGCGCCTCCTCGTTCTTCTTATTCCCTTAATGGTCCCTATCCAGCTGCTGAGGCTGGTCGGGCATCGTCATCTTCGTTCGCTCCTTTCGGACTGCAAAGCAGTTCTCTTTATAAGCAGAATATACATCATCATCGTCCGCATGGTTCGTACAGATCTCCTCTGTCTCCCACTGGCTCTCTGATACCACCCAGAAATCGTGAACCGATTAAGTTTAAAGAATCCATACCCAGTGGACTTTTCACAAACTTGAACCGTTATTCACCACCACCGCGACATCATGGTATCACTAAATCGACAAAATCCTACATTTCACCGTTCTCGTTCGAACAGCAATTACCTAGTCTCAGTGCCCCAATCACTTTCAATAAACTACCTGCTATCGATTTGGGCTCACCAATAGCTGCACCAAACGCGCAATACGGGACACCATTATCCTTCGGTGACTTCAACACTCCAGCACCGGTTTTGACTTACGGAGCACCAAATTTTGGACCTGCTTCGTCTTTTGTTTCAACTTCTACTGGTTTTGGGAAAAATCTGTACGACAGTATTAGCAACACTATAACAACCACATATGGTACTCCAATAGTAAATGCACCACAGTCTACAGGTGTTGGTCACGATTGTAGTTTTCAGCAGACAAGTGGCACGCAGTATAATTTACCAGACACCAGAGTTCACGCAACAGACTTCGGATCTCAATTCGAATCTGAATTCGGTACTTCTTTATCGACGAGCCATTCTCATTCCTCTGACCCAAACCAAAATACGGTTCTCAAAATAGAATCATTCCCGAGTCCATTTGGTGTCGCGCACTCGGTGGGTCACCTGGACCTGGAGAAAGATCAGAAGACAAGTAATCTGAAAGACAGCTACGGCAATTCAGTGGACGATACATACAATGCTCTGGATCATGCAGATAGTGCACTATCCAGTGATCACAGTCAAGCAGCTGAAGTTGCAAACGTACTTGTAGCGCCTTCCGTTATTCAATCTCACGATGTAGCCTCTTCTACTTCGCACTTCCATCAAGATGGTGGAATAAGGGCGGATGCACTGACAGCAAGTTTAGCAAGGAAAGGATATGGCCAATCGAAGAATCTTGATTCAAGCGGGGTGGATGCTAGTCAATTTTTCAATACTCACGAGGGCAGTGAAGCCTTGTCTTTAGCGAAGGGACTAACGACTGCTAATGGTGCTGACGGTTTCGAAATTCAAGGGTCCAAAGGAACGTATATGTTGCAAATTCAACCTGCGGATGGCGGACTCGGTACCGAGAATTCGGATGGCAGCATCAGACATGACCACGTGCTGTCCAATGGTCTTCTGCAGGACATTCTCGCAGCTATCGAGCAACCGGACCAAGGTCAAGTGCAGCTTCAAGGTTTTCCCGAGGCGCAACCTTTGCAACACGTGTACAGTGATTTACCGCAGACCGTAAACGACGATGTATCGAAAGGCCATTATATTACTGTGGAGGATAGCAGGGAAAAAACGAATGCCGAAGATTTACAATTGATCGGCCATGCCAGTGACAGGGACGAGCAACAATTCAACGAAGCCGACTCTACGAAAAAGGACACTGTTGCACTTTTTTTCAATAATCAATTCGGTGACTCACGCAAAGAGACGAGGTCAGTTGCGAAAAGTGAGACGGTTGGCACCGCTTCTTCAAAGGACAGCAAAAATTACAGCGCAGAGAAGTCCTCTTAAACAGGTCTCAAATGATTAAATCATCTCTAGAAACCATTTAAGACTTTGCTGAGAATGTATGATAATTTATGCGACAACGGAAAGACGTTCGTTTTCTTTTCTAACGCTAATGTATGTGTATTGAGGTTGAGTGTATCGCTTTGCGTGGCGGTGGGTTTGGTATCCATCGGGCATACCACGAAATCCACTATTTATGGTCGCTAATTTAAACTGTGCTGCTAATTAATGTTTATTTAACGGTAAATTAAAACTATTTGTAGAACGTCAAGATCTTTTCAAGTCATACCGAAATTTAGGGAAAGTGTCCATTCAGTCAGTTACCCATCTATTCCTTGTTCGTTGTTAATTACAAGGGATAATCTTTGTCGGAATATCTTCTCATGCTACAAGATTTTCCGTTCGTCAAAGGCACATCCGATCTATGAGTCACATTGTACCAGGTCTGAATTGTAATACACGAAGTACCCGAACTCCTCAAGTGCTCTTCAGTTCTTGTCCGAAACGGAGTATTCTGCATCCGTATCATTCGAGAGCTCTTCGAGAGCTCACGGATGGGTCTTGGCGTAAGCGAAAGTGAGTGAACAATCGTGTCAAGGGTCACGGCCATTCCGCGAACGTCTAACACGGGACAACGGAACTCACGCAGGATCGCCGCTTTTGGCGCTGGTGCTGGTCGATTGACGCATCGAAAGCCTTAGGCGGTGACCCCACGCGGGGATTTTGCGTCACAATTTAGGTCATTGAGCTACGGATCGTCGCTCAATACTATCTACGCGGACTATAGCGAGTGACGGCGCATGGAGTAACTTTCATCGGTCTTTCGAGGCGCGGTCAAACGACCGCCGCGGCGGCTCTGTGGTTCTACGTCTTTAACCTTCACCGAGGTGAAAGTTCAGAGAAGCTCGTTCAACCGCTTCGGGTAAATGATAGTTGCCTTTCGCGAGAATCTCGTTTCAAGTGAAACGCAATGCTCGAACTTGCGGGCACGTTTAGACGCAATACACACGGTTTTGCATAGCTAGTCCATTGTTTTTTCGATGGGACACAAGATGCCAGTTATGCACCAGACAGAGATAGAACAATTTTTTCAACAAGACTCGCAAATATAGTCGCACTTGAAATATAACGGTTATGGGTGAAAATATGAGCACACTGTTGTATGGTTCGCATTTTCGAGCTCCCGAAAAGTGTTCTGTAAGTTACAACTGATGGTAGTGGGATAAGTGAAAGCTTCTCAGGTTCGACGACAGCGGATACTGTATCGCGTCTACCAAGAAAATCACATATAGACGTCTTTGTTGTGCTTACCAGTCTATGTCTACCTACACTGGTATTCGAAAATATTGCGCGCATGTGAAACCTGTGTTGAGGACAAGGTACCAGTCATAACTGCTGATAAATATAATAACAATGTAAGAGCTGTCATGTGAGAGTTAATGAAATTGAATGTATTTTCTTTGCATTTGCTATGCACTTTCTAGGAAGCGTGTAACATTTTGGAAGCCCACTGTATTTCGTAAAAATCTATTTCCGTATAATTTTTTTAACAATTACGGAATTCGCATAATAGTTGTCTGGCATGAAGATTCAACACCGGATAATAACATCATTAATTAATTATTATTACCTTGAAAACGTAACAGAGAAGTTGGCAGAAATGTTCGCCATGTGGAGAGTAATATTAGTTTGGTTTCTCTTAACTAGTACACCAGTGAGAAGTACCGTTTCGTTTGTGAGTATTGTTTGAAACAGAGCAAAGTCGGGTCCCGTTCAATAGCACAGCCAGAATGTCTTTTGTAAATGAAACCATTTAATAGTGCAAGCACCCAAAGATACACGAGTCACCGCTTGTATGCGGGGTATAGCATTAAACCTTGTCCCCCGACACGTTGATAACCGACGCGATCACAAGCTGAAATATAACCACCGGAGATATAGGTAATAAAATGTTTCGTGTATTTTCGTATTCGCGAAGTAATCCAGAACTTCTTGTACTTTTATAGCGTTGCCTGGCAAATGGTTATGCATAACTTGGTGTATTGCAGATACGTAAAATAAGTGAAGCGTACAAGCTTAAGAGATGCTCATTGTTAAGAAATACGCAGTAACGATGCTGCCAAGCCATAAAACACGTCAACTCGCTCCTATCTAGTAGACGCCCATCCACTCTCCCGCTCCTCCTCACCCCTTCCTACTGTTGCCCATCTTCCCTTTTTTTTATCGATTAATTTATTCTTTTACACGCATGATCCTGGTGAGGCAGTATGCTGTTCGTAGGGGATAAGCGATCGACGTTATCACTCGTTGAACCTAGCGCGGCGTATGACTGTATGTTTTTTATACATATATACAACATCGCGTTAAGGATGTAAATATACGATATATTTGTAAATAGAAAACTGTTATTATTTCTTCTCTGTGTGCCACCCTGTCCTGTATATTATAGTGCATAACATAATGGATTGTTTCGACGGATTTGGAGACAGTGAAAGTGATATTTTAATGAAAAATGTGTGTTTCGGGTATCCTACAAACATATGTGCTCGGTTTGCTTCAAATGTTTTCGAACTGAAATTGAAACAGTAGTTTTCCGTAAAACGACGATGCTCTACATCATCAAATATTACAAATAGCATTCTATGCAGAGATCTACTGTTCACAGTAATTACAGAAGCTCTCTCTAGTGTTCTCGTTCGAGATGGTGTCACTGTTTGATTATCCATCGTATTGGTATAATTCGGCTACATTATACCGATCCCCATGTTACCCAAATTGGAAACAATGACGGAGGAAAAATAATGTAAAGTCATTTTTACATATTTAGGATATCGACGACTACTTCCTCAGCCATCTTGCAAAAGAATTGTCAGAGCTCTTTCCAGTGTTTGTGTAATTATCATGAACAATATATCACTTTAGAAGGAAACTACTTTCAATAATTTCCGATCAAAAGCTTGAATGTCACACGAAAAGTTGCTGTTTGAACTTTAATTCGAAAACTTTTGGGACAAATCGTGTATCTAGTTACTACTGCAGTTCTTTCTTCATTAAAGAATAGATCATACAATTTATAATCTAATGTTGAGTTACAACTTTACAAATTCGTATTTTTCCTTTGGGTCTCTAGCATGTAAGCATAAAATGGAATAAAGATATCAGATGTTTTGTCACACAGAGTAAATCCTGATGAAAAATGATTCACAACATGTGGCTTATTGTTAGTTTAAACTGTGACATAAATTATGTCTTAATCGTTCCGCAATGTTTTCTAATCGTCCTTCGAAGCCACAATGCAAAAGTTAACACTTCTTCATGAATATGTAAGTACCTATACAAGATACCTCCTAGTTGCGTGTGTAAACTAGTCTTACGCAAATCAATAAAAACTTCATGCACATTCACATACACTGTACACAGAGTTGGGCAGAATTTCATTCGAATAATACACAGTGAAAAGCAGCAGTATCTAAGGGTGTCGTTCTGAACTTTAAATAGTTAATGAGATTAAATAATTGTTCGACAAATGTCGATTCATTCGTAAAGAAATATTATATTATTATAAAAATTGAAATTTCCACGTTTAAACAATTAAAAATGACGAAATACTTTGTTTTATCTTTTATTCGTTATTCGATCGACTTTTTATCTAGATAATTAGTTTACCTATTTCTGACTGTACAGTAACTGGATAAATAAACTACATTTCTGTCCAAATTAGGATAAGATCTTCTTTCTCGTTAGCAGACAAGAAGAACGGTACTAGTACTGAGCTGTAAAAGAACAAAGAAAAAGTCTGGAAAACACGATGAAAATTTTTTTAATTTTGTAAATTGAAATGTGCCTTAATCATTTTTTATCAATAAAGCCCTGAACAATGTTTGTTTTGTATTTTGAACGTTAATGGACTATTATTCAGATGTACTTTATATGCGATTAAGTAATTATTTAAATGTTAAAAGTTTCGGGGCCACCATTTCCCCTTTCCAATCGAGCTGAAACTTGACACAGATTATTTTTTTATTAATTGGAACTACTTTTAGGGGTGTCGCGAAAAAGATTCGAAAGATGAAAATAAGAGTCACCCTAGTGTACATACACTTTTACCTTAAGACAATCTGTTTACATTTAAAATGTTTTATGTAATAGAGATTTGTCATTCAACAAGATTTTTCTAAAGATCACTCATCACCAGCAGAATCAGCACCGAAGTAACACGTCTGAAATTGAGGTAACGCCAAGCCTAGCTTGTTTTCGCATTTCCGGCAACTATTCCCTTGGCTGGTATTCATAAGCAAATGCCGAAAGCATTCAAATTCTATCAACACCGGGATCTCGAATTCGGATAGGGAAAGCTTCAAAATCTCGTTCAAATAACTTCAAATAAACGTTGCTCCCGCCGCAAAAGCCGTCCACGCATGGACACCCGATAGCGATTCCCAAGCATCTGGCTCTGCCTCTGTTTGTCTCGATTGCACCCGTTTTCCCTTTACGTTGCTCGTTCGAGCGGCCGTAATCTCAACTTCCAGCAACCGAGATTCGCGTTTCAAGCTCGCCGAGCGCGCGCACGCACGTCCCGTTCAGCAGCTCGATGTTTTTCAGCAACGGACCCGAAAACGTCCAGGCGAAAGTGCTTCTTACGAGGAAATAAACACCTGGTCCGCCTCTGGCCACGGGATATGCCTGGCACGAGATGGTGAAATGAAAACGCATGAGGGGAATTAGGCATCCTTCGCTAAGTAGGATTACGGTTATGTAAATGAAACGCTATCGCGCTTCGGTTAAGTTAGCGCGGACAGTTAGCGCGTCCCTGTCCTCTCTTCCCACTCGTTAAAATCGATTCACCGGGCGCATTTTTTATCGGGACTCACGGATGGTTCCCTTTCCTGATTTTCGTGTTTCTTTCCGCTCTACCCTTCGGTCACTCCCACGGTCGCGTACCCCGGGATTCTCCTCGTTTCCTCCATTATTTCGTTCTTCGCGAAGCAGACAACGCTGCGATC